TGTGTATGTTCCAGGCCTGAATCCGGACTGAAAGGGATCCAGATAATCGGCTTCATCCAAGGACCGTCGGAGCTGAAAGGCCACCACTTTCTCAACAACCTTCCCAACGAAGGTACAGTACACACGTGGAGGCACTCACCGCTCCCATGACCTTGTCCACTTCATCAGGAGTAACAAGTCCTGACAGATATGCTGGAACATACACACACAAACAGCCATTTTTATATATTTTTAAATTAAATAAAGCCCTTCTACCACCTCTTGCTATATTCAACAGAAAAGTAACAGTCTTTCAGGTTTTGTAGTTATATAATCCAAGGGCTTGAAATGAACATTTAATATTAGAACCATTATTAAAAAGGCTCAATAAAGAACATTCTCCCTGCGTCAGCTCAGGAAGTTCGGGATGCCCCAGGAGCTGTTGATAACAGTTTTACAGAGGAATTATTGAGTCTATCGTTTGTACTTCTATACTGGTTTGGTACAACAACTAAACAACAGGACAGATACATTCTCCAACATAGTTAAGACTGCAGAAAAAACAACTGCAACCAGCCTGCCTTCCATAGAAGACATGTATATTGCGCAGATCAGAAGGGAACTGAAAATATATCTACTGACCACTCACATCCTGAACCTAAACTGTTTCAACTCGTTCCCTTGGGGCAGTGCTATAGGACATTATATGCCAAAACAACTAGACTATAAATTTCTCACGGCAAAATACTGTGATATATTAATCTATAAATCATAACTTTAATCTATTAATAAACCGGGGCCCTGAATGTGTTAAGGACCCTGTTTCCTGCTGCTATGTATGTTTTTGATGTTTTTATTGTTTCTTATTATTTTAAAATGTTTTAGTGTTTTAACCATAATCTATTTCTTGAGTTGCCCAGAGTCAGATTGAAATGGGCAGCTATAGACATTGAAAAAATAATAAAAATGATAAAATAAATAATGTTTAGAACCCACAATTGCTAGAACTTGCCAATCTATTCGAAGAATATAACGTCATCTAAAATATTTTGGCTGGTTTTATTTGAAGCTATCTGTTTGTAAGTACCAAACTGTTTTAAGATTAATGCCACTAAGTATAATTTCCACAATTTAGTAATAGAATTTGGCCACTATTGGATTTTACTTGCACTGTTTTGAAAATACAAAAAAGAAAATACCTTTCCAGGAATAATTTGAATTATAGTAGTCTTATAAAAAGCTTTGAGACATTAAATTAATGTAATGCATTAATTAAAATAGAAATGTTTGTTGACAATTATGCAGGAATTGAAGATGTTTAATAAACAAATGGTACCTTCTCAGCCAATTCCTCAGAAGTTACATTTGGATTATACAGAATGGGCTCTCCAATGTAAGTACGAAATTTGACTGGAAATCCACCATACACTGGAAGGAAGGGAATTCGACTATATTCATATAGCCGCCTAGCTAAAGCTCCTGTGAAAGAAAAATAAAGTTAAAACCAATACAAATTTGAATCAGTTTAAATATCTAAACTACATTTTATTGGAATCACTCAACAGAACTATCGTGGCTCTTTAGCTGCAATATAGTCATAAAGCTATTCATTTAAATAAAAATTATACACACCTGCATGCATATGCGCGTGTGCGCGCGCCACACACACACACTTTCTGGCAAGCAAAAAATTAAAATGCAGGGGTTTCTATTTATTATTGCATCCCAAAGTCACTCTCTTAAATAAGGGTTTAACAAAATCCATTGTTTGGAGAATAAGGAATCTATAGCAGATTAACACAGGAAAAATTGTTGTAAGAAACCATATTCTCTATTTCCTGGGTTGTATGTTGGCTTGTTATTTCACAATTGGAAAAGTTTTTATGAAAAGCTTTACATTGGGCTTCAGCAGAAACCCAGATTCAGATATATAAATTCTTTCTACATTGTTCAGTTTTGTACCATAGTTCACAGGCTGCACCAGTCAGATAGAGTAGGGATATATTTTTTCCAAACAAAAGGAACCAACGAGAAAAGGGGCATAAGGAAAACTACCTTTCTATCCCGTTCCTCAGGCAAAGCGTAATTCATCAAATGCTTCCTCTGGATTCAACCAAAATTTCACTCGAATGTAGTGGATTTCTCTTTGTCAAAATTTGAATTAGCAGATGCCCATATACCATGCCTTATGCCTCTATCTATAGATTCCATGGCTGAGTTTTTTAGCTAAATATTTTATTACACAGGCAGTTAAACTAAATAGTAATTATGGAAATACTCTGCAAAGGAAAAAGAAATCCCATGGACAGAAATGCATATATTTGTTTATTCTAATATGATTTATTTTGTCTCCCCCCCTCAAAATATGAGTACTTAAACTGCTGTTTTTAAAATAATTTTATATATATGCTTACAGATTCAACCTAGAGATCTGTGAGAAATAGAATCTGATTCTAAGATCACTTTTGTTACTTGTTTGTGCCTTAAATCATACTTTTTTCTTCACAGGAACTATATAAATTTGCCTAGCATTGAGAAGTCTGTCTCAAGAACATAACCTTTCTGTACTTGATTTTACTTTATTAGTATAATTTAAGATGGAAACTGTCAACAACAATTCTTCTAAGGCAGGGCATGGTAATCTTTTCAGCTGCTAGATTTTAGTAATTTTAAAATTAAAAATGTAATTTTAAAGATCTATAGATAATATCAGGAGTGATAACTTGAGGATGCTGTCCTTTTTTCAGCACATCAGATTATCTGCTATCAAAGTGTGATCTCCTTTACACTGAGTTACTGTTAATAAAGAAGCAGAGACTGAAAAATTTAGACAACGTTAGGATCTTTCAATAACAACAATGAAGCAACAATTTTCTCAGCAGTAATTTATAGTTGAGAAATACCAATAGTTTTGGTTATTAGGCGTAGCATGTACCAGTATAAGAGGAACCACACATACACACACACACACACACACACACACACACAGACATAATGTATTGCCAGTTTATTTAGCAGCATAAATGCAACATATATGTGTGTGTGTGTGTTGTACTTGTGTGTGTGTGTGTGTGTGTGGAGTGCTGCCGTTGTTTCAGTAAGTGGATTGATTGGATGTGTGGCTATATCATGATTGGTCAATTGGTGCTGATTGGTGCTGGCTTTGTGTCCATTGTTGCTTTGAGTTGTAACGGCCTGGGTGGTGGGTGGGGCTCGTTTGTTGACTAGGGCTGGTTTCTAGATGTCTGGAAGGCGGGAGGTATCATCATATTTATTCATGTTGTGGGGGTGTTTCTCTATTTCGATAGATTCCTGGTTCCTTCAAAATTAATTTCATGTCCTGTAGCTTTAAGGTGCGGAAAAGGGAGGAAGCTTTTTCTTTTTTTCTCCAACCCTACACAGAATCCATCACCTCACACATACAAAACTCACTCCACTTCATAGAAACAATAAAGAAACAAAACCTACAACCCAGTGACCTACTCGTGAGCTTCAATGTCATATCCCCCTTTACCCAAGTGCCTATAAAAGAAGCCTTGACAGCTATGCAGAACAAACACAACCTAAACACATCCTGGATCTGACCAA